TATTACAGAATAAAAAGATCTCCTCTCTCCAGTGGAACCTGCCATCTAAGTTTCACACAAGATGTAAAAATGAATTTAAACAGTTAGGTCAATGAACAGCTGAAAATACCTGCCATACAAAGTGGCTATACATGACATTCTGAAGTAATTAAATTAATCTTCCACTCTAACACCTGTGTTATTCACAGGATCTTCAGCAGTGATATTTGTCATAAGAACAAGTGGAGCACTGCTAAGTAATTTTACTCACTTTGGGTTGTATCTTTTTAAAACCCACAGACATACCTTCAGTAGCACGTTAGCATCAATAAAATCATGACAGCCATTCTCAAGACTACCAGAACGAAGAACGCCTGGTTAGACAACCAAAACAAGCTCCACAATAGGGGATTTGGATATGTAAAAGATCACCTCCTTCCCCACTGCAGTGACCCTGAGTAGGAATGCTTGAATTGAGGAAGGGGTCAGCAGAGATGTCCCACAGAGAGACAGATGGTGACGTACCATTCAGTTACACTACCTTTTCTACAACCATCTGAACTTTTTTTAAGGGCATGCTGCAAAATTTATCGATAACTCACAGCCCTAGAAAACAATCAAATCCACGTTTTCTGCTCTTGGGATTAGTATTAGTTGCTGTGGTCACCTCACAATTCTTATGAAATTATAAATAGCTCTACTACAAGTGTTTAACAGCATCTGAAAAACAAGTATCAATTTTTTATTTTCTTCACTGCTCATAATTTCGTTACGTTAGATCTGTCTCTCACAAAATCAATAATAAAGAAAACTAGTGTGGTGCTCCTCAAATCGTTTGCCAGCTGCCAAACAAAGGCTGTCAGGTAATTAAGTATTTAGATTTCATTCGGTCTCAGGTTAAGATTGACTCAACTCTGTGGAGCTTAGGATAATCATTCACCATTCTGCTCCTAATACTTATCTGCAGTAACAGGGAGAAATCTACAGTTAAAGATCCTTGGAGAATAACTAGAGACATAATTAAGGAAATAATAACTAGTATGCCTTCAATATTTTTATGTTCAAAACCTCAAAGCTTCATTACTACAGGACAAAACTAAACTAGAAAGAAGCATGATGAAGTAGTATTCAGTAGGTCATACTTGCTTTTTTTTTTTATTATTTTTTTTTTTAAAGTTTGTAACCAACTCTTTGATACATAATAGGGAGGAGCTTGTGCTTTTTGTGCTTCCACTGCCCTGTTTTGCACTGATGAAGATGGGGCAGAGGAAAAAATTCATGGATGTGTGCTGAGGTGAGGTCCTCAGAAAGCTTGCAGGTTTGGGAACAGTCCCAGTTTGGGAGACACAAGCAGAAAGAATAAGTCAGAGAAAAAGATGAGGGTCTCGACAGGTCTTCTGGATAGGATTTCAAGAGGGCAGGAGCAAGTGAAATATTAGAAGCAGTTTCTTTAAGGTATTTTTTACGTCCTGTTTCACTGATAAAAATCCATTTAGTATTATGGAACTACAGGGTTGGTCTTGAATGGTAGGAACAAGAGAAACATGCTTTTTTTTGTTTCTTCTTTCACAGCCAAGTTGACTATTGCATTCAGGAAGACATCCCACCTCTGAAAGTCCTCAAGATACTTCTGCTAAGAATTTTCAAAAGTTGGACTTGAGCTGATACTAAACCATTAACTTGGTAAAAACATCAATAATACAGTCCAGATCTTAAATAATAGGTCAAATGGCAAGACACATAAAAAAATTTAAGATTTATGGCAACAGTCGTTAAACACAAGTTTTGACAGTTATGTGAGAGTTTAAAGGTTTAACTTCATGAGAAGTTTGTCGTCTTTCATTCAACAGTGGCTGTCCCCATCAGATTCTTACAAGACTTCATTTTAACTTGAACCTTCAAAACCACTGTTAAAATTTGGGTCCACTGATGCAGGCCAGAATTTATAATCTACAAACTCATTCAACCAAACCTTCCAGCAACTGCAGCTAAAGATTTACCTCTGACAGCTTTCTGTGATACATACAGGAACCTTGTGAAGCAAGTAACCGTTTTTTCTGAATTTTAAATAAATCTGAGCAAAAGAAGTTACAGATACAAATGAAAACCATAAACCAAGATATTTTTCTTACATTTTTATGTACCACCTCATATCTTTCAGTTTTACATGTGAACTAGTCTCTGCAATAAAGTTTCAAACATTTGAGATTGTTCTTTGCATTCTTATTAGAAAATTATAAAATTTTTGTTTAAAGAAAAATTAACAGAGTAAATCAGTCTGGATGCATGGCCTGTCACTGTGTACTACCTACCAATGAATTTTGCTTGATTAAATCTCATTATTCTCAAACTTGCCCTCTATAATAGCATCACCACTGAGAAGAATGATCTACAGACAAGTCAATGACAGCTGAACAATGGACTTGATGTTACCCACTGGATCATAGTTCCATTAAGAAACTGTTTTTATCTTTGTCAAGTGCATGAGCTCCACTTCAGCAACTTCATACTTAAAATGATCTGTTTTCAATCACTGCCTCAGAATCATTGTATCATGTTAACAGTCTTAGCATTACACAAAAACTACGCGGTTGCTCCTGACGTACGTAGGTGTTCAGAAAACGAAAGCAAAACTGCCATCTTTCAAAAAAAATCAGTTAAGTAACAAATGAGCAACCCCGAATATGACATTCGGAGATTCCAGTTTGTGGTACATTTTTGTACACACTAGTTGAACTGTAACCTACTTGGCCAACAGTTTCTTCAGACAGGGATTTTAATTTTTCATGAACACATTGCTCTAATAAAGTACTTGGCATTAGTTATGGCTTTTGAATTAAAATGCATTCATGACATTAAATTTTAAAATCCCTAAGCCATTAATTTTGACCAGCTTTTTTCTTTTTTTCATATTGTGTTTGCAAGAATTAGCAACTAAGTGCATATTTCACCAGCAAAAGAATGAAAGCTGTACTAATAAAACTTAAGTTTTGCAGGTCCCTGCAGAGAATGGTAATATTTTATACACTGTATATCAAATGAAAGCCAAAACCAAATTTGCTCTTCTGATAAAGGCTTATCTGCCAAATATCACATAATTGTTCAACTTACGATCAAGGGCAACTTAACACATAATCTGCTATCTACATTTTCTTCTGTATTCAGAAATAAAAAGGTTTACACCATTGCAGAACAGTTCTATAAATTGTCTAGCTTAAGCACTTACTTTAGTACCTATTTGTGAAATTATCTTGCTTCAAAAATTTCCAGGTAATAACTAAATAGCTGAGCTTACTCAATTGAGGATGCTGATCTGCAATTTCTTCAGGTATGCAAGTCCCTGCAGTTGCCCTACTTTACCTTACAAAAAATGCCCCCTTTGTCTGCTTTATTCAGGGTAGCATTCAGAAAGCTCAGATAGTATAAATCACATGTATTTTAGTTTTTAATATAAAATCATTACTTCAGATATATCTACTGGCCCCTATAACCTTGCTACTAAAAGAGATAATCACCTGCTGACAGTATGGGAGCCCAATAGCAGACTTCAAACCAGTTTTCATCTTGTTTTATCGTGTTTCATCTTGTTCATCTTGTACTTATGAAACAGCGTAGAGTTATGACACTTAAGATGTTTAATAGAAACAGCCAGTTTGATATCCGATTCCCATGCTGCTATCATTCTACTGTTCAATAAACTACAGTCAGTAGTAGCTCAGTTTTAGTTATACATTTTGAGTACAATTTACACACTTCATACACCTCTAAGTAGTGCGTCAAATTTGCTCAACAATAAGAATGCAGCTCACTACAACAGATGTCTGATCCTCCACCTTCCCCAGTTCTTAGTACTGGTTTCCTTTACTACTCTACATTAACTTGTAGATAAATTAAGCATAAGTGTCTAAAATTCCAGCTGTTTTGCAAAATGCTGCTGTAAGGCTAAATTTTTAAGTCCAAGTAGTTTCATAATCTGTGTGCAGTTATTTATGAAGGCAGCAGGAATGCTATTCTGACAACGTAATTAAACTTGCAATAATGTCAGCAGGAATCTGATTGCAAAATGGCTCATTTTATAAACATCACTACTTTTATGACTGACAAAAATATGCACGATCAGGTGCCAGCTCCTTCACAAACACGTATTTTATAACTTGTGTCGTAAATTACTTGCAAGTACAAATTCTAAGATATTAAAGGTCTATGCTCAATCCCTAAAAAATGGCACAGTTCAACACAAAGATTTCATGGATTTTGCTCTTCTGCCAGTTTCACATCCATGTAACTTCACTAGTTTCAGAGGAGTTATTCCCAATATATACATAAATTTACATCTAAAGCAAGCCATCTCCTGTATACCATATTGGACCTGGGATTACACATGCGTTTAAAACACAAATGAAATACAGGACAGAGAAAAGATAATTGGACCTTGCCTATTTTAAGACCACTATATAGTCTGTATATCACAGCACACGAAGCACACATTTCTTCAGAATTTGCTTTTTAAGTTCGCTGCCCATTGTACAAATCTCTTTAAAACTGCATGGGCCACGAAGTACTGATTAAGTCTGAAAAAAATTACATTTCTTATTGGAAGTGTTTAAGAGTTAAAAAACCCATACATGATATCCCACTGTTTAAAGCAGTAATAAACCCTAAATTGAACCACTTCCTCATGGTAGTGATTGCTGGGTTGATAGCCATTACAGCTTTTCTAATTAAAGTACAGGTTAGAACAAAGTATTGAATGTTTTAGCTCACTCATGTATGACAGTTACATTTATAATAAGCTTAAGTATTGGGAAAAACCAGTCATTTGGTATTGACCAACTGCCCATACAAATAGAAGACCTTCTAGTAGTTCTGTATTGCCTGCTCTTCTCAAGTCACTTCACAGAATCCATTAAAAAATCCAGTGTCAATTTCTTCTAATGTTGGAGTCACTGGGGGTTTTTTGTTTTGGTGGTTTGGGTTTTTTTTACGTTTCCATTAAGGCCATTTAAAAATAGTAGTCTCAATATAGCAGGGATGGAAACATTTAATTAAAGTCAGACCTCACAGTCTTCATAAATTTAAAACATAGTTTGAGAAACCTCTTAAGGAAATGTGCCTTCTGCATTTACTAAAAATGAAGGTAACATCAAATAAAAAGCAAAACTAAACAAGAATAGGCAGAACATTTTACTTTTGTCAAACCTTAAATGTAAAGTATATTAAAAAAACATGGTTTGGAAGTTCAGGAACAGGAATATAAACATGTGTTTTCTATCCCAGAAAAGAATTCATGCAGGTGTTACAGTATTCGATCATTCTCTACATCCACTGGTATGCAACATCAGCTTAATGTTCTTAAATAGATACAGAGATACCATAAATTCATACAGGTACCAGGGTCTTCTGGCCTCAGTTATACTGTAGATCAAGAAAATCTGTTCTTTGGTAATTGGAGTAGGCTCATTTTCCAATCCAATGCAGGACTGTTAGGAGGCCATATCAGCCACTCATCTCAGAAAACTACAACTCCTGTGGACATAGTCTGGGCTACCTTTGTCACAAGATAATAATATTAGAGGTGGTCTTAGAGGTATAAATGCAAAGAAGTTAAAGTTATTCATTCCTTGTGGCGGCTGTTTCAGGAAAAAAACATCCAAACTCTCTCCCCTTCTCTATTCATTGTTTAATCTAGGCAACATTTAGACTCATATGCAAAGGTATTTTGATAGATGGGAATGTACACATGCACACCTTCAGTTTAAATAAAGAGACCTGTATGGAGAATTGCAATTTAAAGTTAATGACTTGAAGGTATTCTTATAATAAAGTTTAAAGATTTAGTAAACTGGGACATTACAAATCCAAAAAAGCGTGTCTAGATATTTCATCTTCCCTTTTTCGACAAAGACTGACAGAATATACATATACAGTTTGACGTTTTGATTTATCGAAAACAATTTTCACTTTGCTCAGTTTGCAAGTCCTATTGACTAAAATGTAGTATCATTCACAACAAAATATTTTCAGTAAGTGAAACAATAAGCAAAGAAAACCAAAACTAAGCTCAGAAGCTAAGTGGTTTAGAAAGCCTGGTAACATCTATGTGTGTGTAAGTGTGTCTATAATTTTTTTTTATACAATATATATAGACACACACACACATATATACACACACACCTGCGCACATGCACACACGCACACACACATATGTAACCTGCAGTGAAGATCAATCTATTTTCTAATAAGGAACAAAACACATTATTTAAAAATGTGGCTAATTTAACAAAACAGAGAAGAAACTGCTGCTATCAAAATATACAATTTGGATTGCAGACTAGAAGGCTAACAACATTAAAAAAATAGTTTTAAGCAAAACCCCTTTGCTTCTGAATAAGAACAGGTATCATCAACCTGCCATAGCATGAAGCATCCAAACAAGATTTTATAAAAAGTTTAAACTGTGACCCTTCTTCATTTGTAAAGTTCTTGACATATCACATAGTGCGAGCTCTGGTCTCCAAACTGGAGCCCCTTTCATTTTTCTCAATCCGTACTTCAGGAAATAAATGGCAACTGAAGGATTCAGAATCTCAAGTGAGATTTGTGCTTTACCATATACCTGAAAAAAAATTAACAGAAGACAACATTACTACTCTTTTTGTATTTACAGAAATTTTACTCTCAGGAATAATATGCACAGACTTTGTTAAAACAAAATTCTTAGAGAATTAGCAAGTTGCCAAAAAGATGCAGTGTCTTATATGCCATGGAGCTCCACATTATGCACCACATCTGTCCCACTAAAAGACAGTCAGCTAAAACCTTTGAAGAAAATTCATGTTTTCCAAAGCATCACATGACTTCTACCATTGGAAGACTGTTGTGAAAGATAACTCTAGTTCATTCTGCGAATTCAGATATATAGTTTAGCTGAGACTTTTAAATAAGAAGCCACAGAATGTTTGATGCTTGGCATTTTGAAAATTCCGATAGGATTTTTCCTTTTGAAATTCACTTAATCATTCAAGCAGTCTGCTGTGCAATCAACATGAGAAGATAAAATATTCAGGAAATGCATGGACTTCTCCCTTCCCTCAATATTTCTTCAACTGCTTCATGATAAGACAGTTTCTTCTCTACAACTTGAAAAAGGTATTGCAAATGAGCTTCCTGTTCAGAGAGTGTTCTGAATCACAGAGAAGCAGAGTCAGAAACAATGCTGCTCTTCACAGAGCTGCTGGTGCTCCTCCGTCCCTCCCTTCTCATGAAAGGCAGGGCTAAGTACTTAGAAGGCCCCTAAGCTACACAAGAATTGCCAGTCCAAAACTCATTATGTGCCATATCTTTTTTGACTTCCTTCCTCTTCTACCCAGTGCTGTGGACTCAAGGGCATCAGGATAAAATATTACTTTGTGGCTCTTTATCTAAAGGTAGTTTCTCACCTTTTCTAGACTGTAATCTAGTGAGGTGGAGACAGAAAAGAGAAGAGCTTGTAAGCTCAGAACTGCAGTCCAAGGAGAGGGCTGGAGGAACAAAGGAAAACTCTACACCACCTAGCTTGTTCTCCATTCCTTTCCCTCTGCCTGAAGGGAGATGGGGAATCATGCTACTAGCCAATGATTAATGGTAACTACCCTTCCTTTAAATCTATGCATATTACACTGTGGAGATTATTATTTATAGCCTGTAAGAAAATATAGTGGTATATATTTAACCATATCATTGCAGAAAATCTAAACAAGCAGTATTTTCAAGGTAAAACATTGTTCAGTTGTCTACGTTGTATATAATGCCCTTGTTGCCATAACTCTTCATTCCCACCAAACATCATAAAAGCATGAGCATTAAGGACTTTCAGCAGGAAACATACCTGTCCAAAGTTTCCCAGAAGCGTAGAAATACTGGCCTGTCCAAGTGTCTTTTGTGGTAGCTTAGTTCTAACACTGTTACATCCCATTTCTGTACATTTGGATCCAGACGTACTTCATCATATTTGAGATGAAAAGCTTTAACTACAGGAAACAGGAAAACATTTAATGTACAAACATGACGACTTTACAGTGTTTAACTATTAGTCAAAAAGAATTTCCACCCCGCCCCTCTTTTTTCAGAAACAGAGCCTGAGAACAAAATTAATGAGTCCATCTCTCAAGAAAGTCAACTAGTTAATAAAGGGCACTGAGCTAAATATAGTGGTTGGTGCCCACTATCAGGTTTTCGTGCTATTACAGGTTTAAGTGAAAGGGCAGCCCCTATTTTTAGATGCATAGATTCTAGGAGAACAGCAGAAACTTAGTGCCAATTCAAGCACATTTTCTTTGGGAAGCAAAGATGTTCTTTCTGAAAAATCTTTGAACTGTCCAAGAATTTTAAAAAAGCAGCATTTCTCAGACCATCGAGAAGGAAGCCTGGCTATTTCCTGAAGGTCGGCGTAGAAGACTTAGAGCAGAATGCCAGTGTAACCCCCCAAATGCTACATGAAGCATTCTGAGAAATTTAGAATCATAGAATCATTTAGGTTGGAAAAGACCTTCAATATTGAGTCCATTTAGTAACTGCCAATTACCCCTGATTTAGTACTCACTTAAAAATGGCAACATATTAACAGTTATTTTGCTCTTGGGAAATATTGTCACATGTGAATTATATAAAGCCTAAGCATTAACACAGTGAGTATTAAAATCTTCTGGCTTCCTTAGCCAAATCATAGTTTTGACATAATCCAGTGCAAAGTATTTAAGTCTTACACAATTCCTATCTGGTAGCCAATTTGATGCAGTTTCTATTTTGGATATTATTGGAGAAGTAAAGCAGAAGCATTTGACCAGGCTTGTGGAAACCAGTTAATTTTAATGCCATGGTCATATCTTTTCTGGTACCACACTCTTCATTTTTTCTTCCACAAAATCCACCTACAATTTCAACTAAATGGCTAAAATGAATAAATAAATAAAGCAGTCCCCTTTTCCAGATACAGGTCAATCTATACAATGATATATCTAGGAGCTTTCTAGGAGATTGGTATCTGAAATTAGCTTTTTTTTTTTTTTTTTTTTTTTTCAATTGACAAACTAAAGAAGGGGTCATCTGGCTTGTACCATTGCCAGATAAATTTCCAAGCTTTGTGAATGAAAAGTAAGAATACATATGCATCACCTTTGCTATACTAAGTTGCATGTTTTAAAATAACCCCAGAGCAAGCAAATAAAGATACACAGGGTCTATGCATTTACAGAAAACTTAATCAACACCTAACAGAATCTCTGCATTAAGGTTAAACGATACTGAGCAGAAGATAACTCACTTCTGAATCGGAAACAAATCAGTCTTAAAACTGCACACTAATATGCTCTAGCAGCAAAACCTTTAAAATTGTATTCAAAATTAAATATTTGTTCATTGAAGTGACACCATTAAAAATTTCACCTCGAACATTCACTTGCAGATGCAAAAATAAGCTTGTTCACTACATGAACATTAAACACTCGGACCATGTGTAAAGAAAACTAAGAACAATTTTAGAGACTCAAGCAGCAAAATGCTACATGATATAGCAATTGAACAAACAAAACCAATTTAACAGGCTCTGGTCCAATAAAAATTTTATTGAGGAATTCTTTATGGTAAGCTACCTGCTTGTTTTCCAGAGTGACAGTGATAAGTTTTGAATATTTGCTAATCACCACAGACCCAGTGACTTACATAAAGAAATGCAAACTGCAGATAAAACAACGAACTGTTGCAGATCCAAGAAGCGACATTTATGAAGAATATTGAAAACTATTAATATGGGCAAAGCAATAGCTTCAGGTAAAAGTAGACACATACAACCAGGCTGACATTGCATGTGCTCTCTCCATTTACACTGTTTTCATTTTGAGGAATGAGTGAAGTCATTAGGAAAAGCCCTAGAGATACTCTTATGAGGAAAATATTTTAAAAATACCTCGGCTTGGAAAAACCGAATGCATTTCTAAAATTAAAAAAGGTCCATTTCAATTTATCTTTATGAGACAAGTAAGAACAGGTATCCTTCTTTGACTTGAAAAAGATAAGAATTTGTACACCTTCAGACTGAACTACGCAGGCTATGATTTTGATCTTTTGGCATAGTGAAGACTTCAAAAATGTCAAAGCATGTAAAAAATTTCTATGGCCCTCTATACATCTACATATTCATAATGTTGAAATTAATAGGAACTAGCATGCAACTACTAGCTAGACCTTAAATATTTAACAGCATTTTTCTTGGTTTTGCTTTTCACAATTTCCATTTTCTCTATATCTTCATTTTGAAGTGTTATTTTCTTCTTTCATTAGTCTCTTTTGTTAAACTCTCTCCTGTGGTGTATTTTTCTTTTACATTGGCTTTCAGGCTCTTTCACTCTCTCCCTGATCATTCTCAATCCTCCCTTAAGCAACTCATTCTATTTTCTTGTTCACAGATACATCCTTAGCCTTGTGTCTGTTTTCTTTTTTTGCTCCTTACCAAACTAGCATTCTCTTTCTGCCTTCTACTTCACATACCAAATATGTGCACACATAAAAACTGATCAAACTTGTTTCCCCATCACACTGACTGGAAGACGACAGACTGAACTAAGTCTTTTGGCTTGGTTCTCTTTTTTTTTTCTGTGTGTGTGCATTGGTTTGGGGTTTTTTTTGGGGGGGGGGGGGGGGGCGGTTCTTTTTTTTTTAAAACCTGTAGCTCAGAAACTACTGGACACTATAAAAAGGTCTATTTTCTAAGGCAGCTTTACAATGAAGCAACAGAGACCAGAAGCTGACAGTTGCTTAAATATTATCGCACACCTTACAGTCAGAAGAGTGAACTGTGTGAGAAAAGTGCAGTGGTGCAGTGGGTCTCAAAGCATACCAGGCATAATTGTGATAACTCAAAAAACCTCTTCAGATCTATACAGTGATAACAACTAGCTCACAACTTAAAATTATTTGTATCTTACTAAACTTCCAAGTTTTTGTCAGACACCAGATCATATTTGTAAACGTTTCTTAGTGAAATACTAGGTGATCAATCCTCTGTTCAAATTAGTAATGAAACGTGAAGACAGCCTGTAAATCTGTTATCTATGAAGTGTTGTAATATACATTGCCTTTTCACATCTTTTTAGAAGCTTGGAAAATAAATTTATATACTAGCTATTTCTGAGCTTCTTGTAAAGATAACAGCTTTGAGAAGATTTCCATGAGCTTCCACAGGTCAGAATAGAACAACTGCAGAGGGCACATAAGTATCTGCCATCTGTGCAAAGACCTAAGCCCCTGTCTTCTCAACCACCTGAGTCCAACAGCACTTTGGCAGTACTTTGCCATAAGCATAAACACCCCATAAAAAAACCCAAACAGAATAACAAACCCCAAAACACTTAAAAACAAAACATAAAAAACCCTTACTTTTTGCAAAGATATCAACAGGTGATCCATCAGGCAAGAGCCAAGGCCAGCCTTTGAACTGCCAAGCAGGACCCTGTACAAACACTGCCACCACACGATCCCTACGAACACAGAAAGAGACAGACACGTTGATGGCCCTGAACATTTAAATTACATGCTTTCTTAAACAGGCAATATACCTTAGCATAGTTTTGTATTTACTAACAGCAGTATAGTACATTGAACAACTACACCTCCAGCACAACTGCTTTTTCCTGTTAAGCAAAAAAAAAAAAAAAAAGTTATTTTCTGGACTTCTAGCTCCATCCCTTTGCAAAATGCAGCTCAGTTTCCCATGTTAGGTTCATAAGAAGTTGAACAGTGTTTATTTCTGGTCATTATTACTTTGCTTTTAAAAAGTGCTCCAACCTTTCAGAGATAATCTTCTATGAATAATGTAAACTGAGATGTATCAATTTAAAAGCCTTTATTCTGAATACGGTTAACTTCTATTCTAAAAATTTATTAGAAGAGACAGCTGCTAAATTTCTGCAAAGTACATCATTTATTGTAAGGGTATGTAACCATTACCTGCAGTCTAAGAAAATAAATTTGTGGTTAAGATGAAGCTTTTACATAAATAAAATGAAAAAACCCAACACATTTGAGAACAAATGACCTCCCACACATGGTCTCTCTTTTTCTTGAATATTTACATCATCCAACTATGGTTCCTATCTACTACAACAAATAATTACCTCCCTAATCTAATCCCCAAATTTAACTCATTGTAAAGTCTACCAAATCCCAAATGGAAGAGATTAATCAAGGTGGAGTTTTGGGGGTCTTTTTTGTTTGGTTTTTTTTAAAGGACAGACTAAAGCTTTGCCATTTAAAATGGTGTTACAGGTTTTGTAATGGCTAACAGTAAAAACCAAACCAAAAAAACCCAACCCCACAGCAGCAACATGTTAATTTCTAGATACTAATATCTGACTCCCCCTTGGATAAAAACAAACTAAAAGAACCACCTCACTTGATCTCTTTGGTCAGAAGCACTTTAGGATCCATTTCAGATGGTTCATAAAGGTTTGATCATTAAACATTAAGTGCTATTTGATATTTAAAATTTCAAGCCCACAGATTTCTGACTAGTTCAAGTTCTCAACAGAAAGAACAATTAATTTAGGAACAGAACTTTTTCAAAATATTCCTCTCCAGTAAAATCTACTTTGGAAGTTACTAAACCACCAAAAATGTCATCGTGTGTGTCTAAAATCTTCACACTTATGAGGAAGAAATAACATTTTTGCCTAATTCATTACCTCAAATAACAAAAATATGTTTCTCCAGAATTTTCCTGCTCAAAGAAAAATATGTTTTCATAGCATCAAAAAATGGGCTACAGACAAATTAATCTTTCCAGCTTTTTCTTAGAAGTAAAAGCTACCTATGATTTCTTTTCCCCAACTGGGGCTCTCCCTTCAGAAGTAATCTTCCATCATTGGATCCAATTTAATGAAACTGGTTCAATACTGAAAACATAGTTCAGTCTTTACTGTCTGATGTGCTTGCTTTCTTTCTTAAACTATTAAAAAAGTTAGAATGTCAGATGCTGAAGGCCTGTGAACACATCTTGCCAACACACTCTCATTTGGAAAGCACAAAAGAAAGCAGGATTTTCCTCTCAGCTTATGATTCAGTGACTCGCACACTACACTATCACAAACCAGAAAATTAATATGAGTATTCCTATTTGAATTTCTGCAACATTTCTGGCAAACCTATAAAAATAAAATTAGTTGTGCTGCTCACACTGTTAGAATGTAGAGTGCTGTGATTTCTTAAGACTTTTTAAATAAGTTTAGTTTCATATTATTTTCACCTGCAGAAAAGACTCCTTCACAGTTAACAATCCAATCCATTCTTATATCTGTATCTTCACTTTTTAGTGAATTTAGTAGCATTTTATTGGTCCCCTCCAAATTCTGCATTCTCCTGGTTAAGAAATTTTGTAAAGGAGAAATCTGTTTTACCAGTCTTGTGGCATAAGTTTCAGAGGTTGGTCTACTACTCGATAAGGTACAGTAACGCTGACTGTAGTTCCCCCAGGCTGCATCTGATCCTTCCTTCTCTGTATTAGAGTTTCATTCTCTCGTTGACAGCCTTGTTTCTTCTTCTCATCTGATGGTACAAACCTTGGGGAATAAAAAAACATTCAGTAGACAAAAGCAATTTATTTGATATAATCAGCAGGAAAAGTAGCAACTTTATCAGAACATTGCATTATTGGCAACAGTCACTGAAGCCATCTCATTTTCACTATGCCAAGCATCTATCACTACTCATTCAGAACAGCAAAAAATATAAGAATAATATTTCATAAGCCCTTATGATAAAAACAGTTGTACTAAAAGGTCCTCTGCCTCTCAAAACTACAGCCTGACCTGTTCTCATACATTTGTGGCACTCCCTGCCGACCCTACCCAATCATTTGCAGATGAGGAGCCAGATCACAACCTGCTAAATGGCTATAACTCATTATTTTTAGTGATCAAGGGTAATGTGAGGAAGCTTGGGCACTAACGATTGCTTCCTGGAGCAAATTTTAGAGCTCTTGCTCTTGGAGCCATCAGAATTATATTTTTTGAAGAAAGCTGGGATTTTGGGTCAAAAGGTTTTTGAGTGAGGTTTTATTTTTTTGGATGACAGTGATTTTACATTATCAATGACTCATCTGGTTACTACGATGTATGATAAAACAACTCTATAATTTTTTTTTCCTAAATGGCTTCTCTGATAGATTAAGTGCTCAGAAAATAAGGATGATGTGATCCTCATGTCTTATGTAATATCTGTATGACACAAATAAATGCTTAAGATGCAAAGCTCCCCAAATGAATTACAGATCTTTTGTTTTTTAAGTGGGGGCTGAAAAATAAACAAACATAACAATTCCATTTCAAGAGTCTCTTCTTTATGGCAATAATAAAATAACATATACAGAACAGTTCTCAAAATTGGCATCAGAAATGTGAGAGTAGCGTGAGCCTTTTTACTGATGAATCTCAGTGGGTTTTGTCAAAAGGAAAGATAACAAAATCATGCATGTTATAGAACTAAAACTGTGTCACAGAAAGGTGAACTGGTGTGACCAGTAACACCTGCTAGGCCAGCAACAGAGCAGAGCTCAGACCTATGTTCTCCTAATATTCTATACAGAACCACCCAGCTGCACCACTAACACTGTTTGCCCTTACATTTCTTTTCTAAAACTTCTGATAAAAAGAAACACTGTTTCACCTAACTGCAAAAGTTCTCACCAGTATTGGTGCTACATTTTAAAATCGTAGTACTCTACATAATTGTTAAGATTTCTCTTCATTATAGTACAGGCGGGGCTTTTTAAAAGTTTACTACATTCTTCAGGTAAGTTGTTTGCACCATTTCTATTTGTTCTCTTCAACCTATTTCTGTTTGAATACTAAAAAACAATTTGATTGTCCTTAAACAGGCAGACTGCACTTTCTATTGCTGGAAAAATAGAAAAAAGGAATGAAAAATGAAATATGAGGAAAAATTCATTATTCAGTCAACTTGAAAATACTAGTTTCTGCTAACATCTTATATCCAATGAGAAGATGGCATTTGGGGGGGGGGGGCACCCCTAACAAAAAAAAAGTTTTAAGGCAGCATGTGGAAACTGTCAATAAACCTTCAAGCAAAACTATTTTACTTTGCTAACATAAATAAACAGATGAAGCCCCCCTATACTCTTCATGATTTAACAGTATTTCAAAACCAGAAAGTCACAATGAATTTCTGAAGTGTGCGTCCAAACACATACAACTGCACCGGAAAATTAAAAAAAAACAAAACTGCAAAAGACTATGAATAGTGCATTAAAGTTGACTAGTATTGCAAATACAGAAAAAGCATTACAGATGTTAAGTGATAAGCTACAAATTAAATTATACTTATCTGTCTAGTACATGTAAGACACCACCATTCTAAAGAAAATACAGACAGAAAAGCTATACAGGATACACTGGGAAAAAGTACACTTAGGATGCCTAGAATATTATAAAAAAAGTTAAGACAGTGATTTCACCAATAATTGAAGTAATTACAAACCAGTTAATATCAACACATATTTTATCTACCGCAACCGACTGACACATACAATTGCGTGCTACAGACAGAAGCATTCAACACAGTTCTACTTTGGAAAAAGCTACTAAACATGAAATCAGAATTAAGTATTTCTAGTCAAGTCATTAATTTAAAAACTCAAAAGTGAGGTACAACTTTAATCATGAGCATACCTAATGGCCTGTCCTGCCAACATGTTGCAGGCTTGGCTTTGCCAATACTAACTGATAGGAAACTGTATTTTATAACTTAAAATGAGGATTTGCTTGGTGGTCTTGAGCTTTTAAGAACACCATTCATGAGTCTCTCCTCACCCATCAGAATTAAGGAATCTCAGCTGGAAAGATGGAAATAAAATGGTTTTTGGTTTGCCTTTTTTTTTAAAATTTTAAAAAATTACAAAAAAATCCTCCTCAAATATCTTTTACCCAAGTGACAAGGTCTATATGAAAAGCCAGGATCACCTAAAAAGGTGGAGTGCTTGAAAAGAATTTCTTTATTACATGTCCCATGCACTAAATGAGAACAAACTCTTACAGAATATGTAAATAAAATCCAGCCATATGTACATTACAGCGATAATCAAATATTCATATGAACAGCAATCTAAAAGGTCACATTTTCAATTTAATTTGTAATGTGAGGAAGGAAACATATTTTAAATGGAAACAGGAAACCTAGCCACCCCAGGCCAAATTAGGCAAGAAGCAATATTGCTATTCTACAGTCTAACAATTTCACCACTGTATCCAAGACCCATCAAATTTGGCTGGAACAGGCATTCTCAATTCTACTTCTAGCTTTAAATGTTTCTGTGTTTAAGAATTCATTTCAACACTAGTTAATTGACAGTTTCTCTCCATTTAGGCTAGAAACTGCGTTAACAGCCATCAAGGCACCATTGGGTTGTGCCTCAGTTATGCATCTTCTAGACAACAGCTTCAGTTTTATTTACTGTAAAAATCTGAACATTTTTGAACACATTTCTCCAAGAGAGAACATAAAATATCTTATCTGAATTTTCCAAAGAAAAAAATATCAATGAGCAGATTCACACGGAACAGTAGAGAAGATAATTGTCATAAAGAAAGCACTGAAGGAAAGGCTTACATATATGTACACAGAGTACAGGAATAAATGACAGCTTACAGAAAGTTTATGAAATATATGCTTGCATTTCCGGGAACCATTGATTCAGTAAGTATAATAAAAGCCATGTGCTCAAGAATTGAGAATCAGTAGAAATTACTGTATGATTACAGATATAATTATGGCTTACTCCCTTGCTACCTGGACATAAAAGATAAGCATAAGAAATCTAAGTATTAAAGAAATCACCAAAATCCCCATCTTCTCTTGGGAATTATTTGCCACAATGCTATAGTGGGTGGCTTAACTACACATTTGTACTTGACACCTTTTTAATCATCCACCACACTAGAAATCTGTTCTGAAACCTGACTGTGCCAGAGCTTACATTTTTTTTGTTGCTTCTCCAGATTACTATTCCCTAGTAAAAAAAAAATAATTAAAAAAATCTGTATCTACTTAGAATCCATTTTTTTACCCCTACTAGGAAATTAATAGCACTTCATTCTCTTGCTGTTAATTGCCAAAATCATTATCCACACAAAAACCGGTGCTCACTCATTTTACAAAGACAGCAGGTTCCTGTCCCAAGGTGACAGGCAAGCGATTGAACAAGATCAAATGATGGGAGGTAACTGGTAAGGTACTATCCACTGAACTGCCAGAGCTGCTCATGTCTAAGCTCTAAACTCATATCAATTGCTAGCATTAACTTTAAAACACTTTTACTGAGGTCAGGTCAGTACTTTCTGGCCCCCAACTCAGGCATACTGAAAAATGCATGGACAGAGAATAAGGCAACTCCAATGAAGGACAGTAACTGAGATCATTGTAATATACATTTGATTGTGTTTAGAATTGGAGACTTATTTTTACAACCCTCTCAATATTTTTGTTAGATTACAATATCACCTGTTTTTGCAAGAGAACAAAGCTTTTTTTTTTTTGTAATACATCATCCCTGAATCTTTTCAGATAGCTTGATATCAAAGCTGGATAAATCCCAGCGAGTTGCCTGGCCACATATGGTGAAACACATAATGAGTAAAAGCATCATCATAATAAAAATACATAATCATAATCTAATCATTTACATCTGCCTGATGTAATTCCTGCCTTGCTTTTGTTCCATGTAAAGCAGAAGCATTGCCTCTGAAAAGCCTAGCTTCAGATATTCTCCAATACTTAGTCTGGAGAGCCAGATTTTACACAATAATTATGATATTCAGTGTTGCATTCAGATATTGAATAAGAATAAAGTGTATTATATGAAATACTTTTTAAGAAGCTTCACAGTATACCATGAAGTATTGCAGTTCTGATTTTAATTGAAATGATATCTTTTTAGTATTTTAGAAACTCTTCTTTTTTTATCTTATACTTGAATTCTTTAGAAAAATAACTTTCCAAAAAAGGTTATCAAGAATATTTGCATATTATACAGCATATGGATTATATATATTACTATTATATACAGAAATGTCCCCCTAAAAAAACTAAGTTGCAACATATATACCCAACAGACAAATCAGGTATCTTAAAAAATAAAAATCTTAAACCAGTAATATGCTTCTGGTTTATCATTATATATGATTCTACTCATGATAGCATTCCCGCTTTCCCCATTCTCTACCTCAAAAGAGAGCATAACATTAGTGATGAATTAAAGATGCTAAGCATCATATAAATGTCAGCCAAATTTGGCAAGAAAAATAACACCAACATACTACGAAGCTATGAAAAGGCTTACTAAAAACGTTGGTATAATGAGTAAGTTTCTTTCAGTCCTTGACAATTGAATTTAATGCCTACCATAGTACTGGATGAAGACTATCCTGTTTATTTTACAACAAACAACCTAAAATATCTGTCAATGATACCACAATTACTTTTTCTCACATCCAAAGTGACAATGCATTGCAGTCCAGTTACTTATAAAAAAACCAAAACATCCAGCACACTAGACAAAAACTATCCTAGAAGACAGGGATTCCCAGCTATGACTGTAAGTTTTGATTTTAAGTGGTTTGATCTCCCACTACAATTACAGCTTTGTTCCTTGTTTTGTTTAAAGAAAGATTTAAATGGAGGGAATAGCAAAAGTTGGTTTTATTTATGAGACCCAAATACTCATTCTTTATTATCACACACTTCATAGAACCGTGTTGCCTCAGGTATCAGGCATGGAAGAAAGCTGCCGTGTAAACAGCCCAAGTATCACAGCTTCCATACCTTAACAGTCCTGGGGGCCTCATTCTCCCAGGGTTCTCCTACACTTAGCAGTCTCCCCTGCAATGGCTCTTACTCTTCCAGCTCCAAAAGTCCCTTCTCCTTGTGCTATCATTGACGTACTCTGATGGCTAATACAAGCAGACTGATTACCTCTAGAAATACAAGAAATTCAAGTCTACCTGCACCTTCCTCAACAGGGGTAAGGGAGGGAGTATTAATTTGGATATGTCTTTTCTATCTGGACAATATTTCTTTATTCCAAAACTTGTGGCAATGACATGTGTCTTCCAAATCTCTACTCTTCTGTCAATTTTAGCTGAAAGTGGGGAATGAGTTAAAGGTAGCAGTGACTTAGAGGCAGAAATTAGGTAAGTCTTCTTTCCTTGGAAAACCATCACATATCTATCAATCACACTCTACATCAAGGCTAGTTCTACACTCTGCATACCTGAACAGTAAAAAGAAACCCTGCAGCCATTCCTAAACAAACTACTTGCATAAATTTGAATGAAAAAAAAAAACAAACCCCAAAACCAAACCAAAAACAAAACAACAAAAAAAAACCCAAAAAACCCAACAGGCCAGGTGGCGTATTTTCTAGAAGCATGCTAGAACTGTCATGGCTAAATTAATATTTTGCTCTTCTAAATTCTGCTATTGCACTTCTGATTCATTAACATACCTTGCTTCTTCAGTTTGTCTTTCACACTTGTTAATTACATCAGTGTCCTCCTTTCAACCCTTAAACATAATTTCATTTTTTCCTGGATCGTGTTCTTTGCACTCTAACGATCAGCGTCCTCTTGGGGCAGATCTCGAGAAGTTAACTGTAGCTCTACCGCAGTGGAGCTGAAAACAGTGCAAGCCTCCTAGCACATACATACTTAGACATGACATATTGGTGCTTTATTCCATTATAGGTATTCCTGTACCAGAAAGTCACAAATTACATAGATGTAAAATCCAGGGCTTGTAGTGGTGAAATTTTTTCTTAAACAGAAAAACCCCACATAAACAAGCAACACTGTCTGTCAACACAATTCTATCAGTCCAGTTACTGCTTGCACATTAAGCTATAACGTTAAAAGCCAGCCTTATCTCTGATTAAATATTTCGGAAGAGGCACCAAGGGTCCAATACGCTTACTGGATCTTTGATGATATATGGCCGTAGTCTAGGAACTAGAAATAGCTGGAGATCAGAAGGCATCTGGTATCTCACAGCAGTTTTAAAAAATTCTAGGGCAACTCCAGTGAAAGCTGTAGCACCACAATAAGGACAGCCTATTTTTGAAGAAAAGCAGTGTATAGTCTCATAAAGGACAAGCAAAATGCTGAGGTGGAAGAAAGAAGAGCTCCCCCTTTTTTCAACACACCATTGCAGACCATCTATAACAGTGTATTCCTCTGTGAAAAAGACTGCCTGTTTCAGAAAAATTAACTGGTATTAACCGATAGGCAACTCTAAATACCATGATCTGTTGGACAAGCAGAAAGATGGGGTTTTTGGTGGTTTGTTTTTTGGGGGTTATTTTTGTTTTACCTTAACAGTGAATTTTACCTTACCACAAAGAAAGTAATTTGTAATGTTGATTGCATTCAGCCATAATGAATTAAACCTTAGAATCAGATGTGTGATGCAATAAACAAGTTTTAGCAACTCATTAATTCCCTGAATGAATTTGCATCAATACTTAATGACAATGCTTTATTCTTATTTTTGTTATATGTGAACTTTAAAAGAATTCTTTATTTACACAACCAACTGACCTGCTCAGCTGATACAGTCATTTATTTAGATAGAACAGAGGCCACCCTCCACTCGACTTCCCCTTTACAGTAACTGTGGTTGTTTCCCCGAAATCTTTTCTGAGCTCCATGAGCACAATGCCCTCGCTCATCTTCTCTAAGTCTTCTTCCATTGTAAGGGTTCATTGATCAGTTGCACAGGTGTGCATGTATGTTATGTAAAAGAAAACCACTATAGACATTAGAAACGGTACTGTAAGACTTTCTTATCAGTCTGCCTATTTGGCCCACAGGTCACAACAGCGCAAAAGCTCTGAAAAGAAGTTTTCGCTTTTTTCCTGCTATTCAAGAGGCATTGATTTCTTTTATACACTGGTTTGTAAAACTAGCTTATTGTGAGACAGTAGATACTCCCTCTTGCTTAATTACTAGTTTGGTACCAGTACACCTTCATATCTGAAAACAGTTTTTTTATATAGCATGTTCTAATCAGCTACTTACTTCAGATCTTGCAGAAGGTCCTTTGCATTAAGCATCGTTATTAAAGAGGTCGTGGCTGCTGGAATAATGATTATGGGAGTTCGAGACCCTGGAGAGATAATACAGTCACATTTGCCTGTTGTTTTTTTTTTGTTGTTGTTGTTGTGGTTTTTGTTGTTCCCCCCC